CCGCAGCAGAGTATTCACCATAGAGGCGTTGGTGAAGCAAGAATATCAATTGGAGAAAGACTTTGAGCAGCAACAATGCTGTGAAAGCAGTTTACACCATAAACCGCAATCTGTGTCACCACGAGTACCTATAAATTTGCAGATGGACAAGGCTTCAGTTCAGTGTTGGCGGTGTAAAGGTCATCATCCTTTGGTAAACTGTCCTCGATTCTCATCATCTTCAAATCAGTCATCTCAACAGTGGCAACCTTCTCAAAGCAAGAGACCACAGCCAAATCAAAGTTCAAATCAAGACGGTCTACCCACCAGCAATGCAGTCTCGGCTACAAAGACAGCAACTACATTAAAAAATAATTATGTTATAGATAGCACCCGATGTACAGTACCACAACAACTTGCCATTCCTATCAACATTGGTGCCTGGAAAGGTTCCAGTTGCACCCTACTGCATGAGAGCTTGTGGAAGGAACTTACCCCACAAGAGAGTCTTCATCCATGGACCTCGGGACCACTCTATTTGGCGAATGGCAAAGCTGAAGTTCCACTAGGTTGGATCTATGTTATGATTACACTTCATGATTATGATAATGAGTTTTTCAGGGAGGGCAGTAGTCCTTACTTCAACGTCATTGACATATGGAGCAGTCTTAGGCATGGAATTTATTTTCCTAAGTGGAATTCAACTCAATGTTGCTGAAGGAAAATACTTTTTTAAAAGTGTCCCTGAAATGGAATACTTCTTTCAACCAGGACAAACTAGCATTCCTGCAAGCAGAAACTTGTGTTCATCGAACACCAAGCAGTTTACCAGATCTCAACAAAATCTTTCACTTCTAAGTGCCGTTCCACCACCTCGACCCACAGTAGTGTCACGAGAGACTGATTTCACACTTACTGATGACCAAGTTTTAATTAACAGAGCAATCGAGGAAGCAGCTTTACCTCCCCATGAAGAAGTTCAGCTCCCATCCAACCATGAGCACTCGTCGGCCAGGACGAACAAATGTTCTTGATCATTGCCTGTACATCCACCATCAAGTACCCATTAAACAGCGACCGTATCGACTCTCACCTGTTAATCAAGTCGTAGTCAAAAAACATATTGAAGACATGTTGGATGCTGGTATTATAGAACCCTCTCATTCGGCATGGGCATCTCCAGTGGTCCTAGTTCCAAAAAAGGACGGGAGTCTCAGGTTCTGTGTGGACTATCGAAAAGTCAATGCCCTCACTAAAAGTGAGGCATATCCACTGCCTAACATCACGGAAATTCTAGAGTCACTCTCCGGTGCATCAATTTTCTCCTCATTGGACCTTAACAGTGGTTATTGGCAAGTTTCTATGGAACTAACCAGCAAGCTGAAGACTGCTTTCATCACAGCTGGTGGGCTATATCATTTTAATGTTATGCCCTTTGGACTAAAAAAATGCACCGGCAACGTTTCAAAGACTTATGGAGATTGTACTGAGGGAATTGCTTGGAGTTATATGTGTTCGTCTACATTGATGATATCATCGTTTACTCTCTGACTATGAAACAACACTTCTCAGACATCCAGACCATTTTGCAGAAGTTGCAAACAGCTGGGTTTACCTTGAACCTGAAAAAGTTCAAGTTTTGTCTACGTGAGATTACCTTTCTTGGTCATGTTGTGAACAGTCAAGGAGTGTCTGCAGACCCAAGAAAGGTGGAAGCTAGTCTCGCGTAGCCAGACCTCCAGACTGATGGCTGAAGGTCTGGAATCTATGGCAGCTTTCATTGGCCAAGGCCCGCCCATGAGGCCATTTGACCGACATGTCAAACAACCAATCACAGTTCGTTTCATTTCAGCATCACGTTTCGGGGCGTGGAAATGTCGCCACAATAACAGACCGGTGTGTAAAACTCTCAGACATATTTTAAAGATTCTATGCTGTGAACTAAATATTTCACATACTTTTGAGAATCCAGCGTTTAGTTGATCCTGATAAGCACTCGTCGTCACAGTTGTAAACACGACGGCTTTCTTCTTTCGTGAGGGGGTTTGGCGTCACGCCATCTTTGTTTCCAGGCGGAACGTTAAAGATCCACATCCCGTTGGATAAACTGTTGCATGGTTGCAATCTCACACCTTCTGGTCCTTCCTATGACATTTTTATCAGTTGTCGGAACTTCAAATGTGGTGGAATGTAATACAGTGCCACTATTAATGCGCTATCCTGCCGACCATTCAAAACGGACATTTAATCATCTATCGTAAGTGTGTTTTGTAAGTGTTTGATGTGGTATTGAGATGTGGAATTGAGATATGCTTAAAATTGCCAGAGACTGGTTGTGATTGGAATCAAGTACAATCACAGAGACAATTCAATTCATTACCGTTTCCGCGATTTTGTCATGTTTTTTTTACTTCTTTAGGTTAATTGTTGAATGGTTTTCCCTTTCTTTTTCTTTTTGAATGTTGGTTATTATTTGAATATTGCAAACCATATGGTTATGTTGGGTCTTTATAGGTTTTGCTGATTGAAATTAAATTTGCACTTGGAACGCGAGTAATGTTTCCTGCGTTTTGATTTGATTTGATTAATCTCTTTTCTGGTTTCTTTATTTGTGGTGGTTTTTATTGAGCTATCCGGATTTAAGTAAATTGACAGGGATTTAGCCTTGTCTGGAGCCCAAACTTAATACAACTAAATAAAAATTATCTGGTAATGTAGGAAGCCAGGGGCACCACCGTTACAGTAACCTATTACATTTCCAAAGTAACCTTCCCAACACTGACTATTATTACATGATTACCTCACCTGTTCCACATCAGCTTATTTAAATCGTCACATCCATATTAGTTTTAAATTGCCCCTGTCCCAAACTTCTTTTTTGGAACGTGTTGCAGTCATCAGATTTTGAGTGTATATTTTCAAAAATACATTACATTCATCGATCCACTTCTGCATATTATTAATTTGTAAATGACATTAGGATATGTCCCCACAACTTTCAAATTGGCTCTTATTTAGCCTCTCATGACTCCCCAGCGTGAGAGTTCCTGTCTAATGGCTCCACTGAAAGAGATTAGCGCTGCTTTAGATGCCCCATATCCTGCGAATCCAGGAAGTGGAACTTCTCCTGAAGGAAACCAATGATCGATTTCAAAGCTGTTAGTGCTTATTGGTATTTTATACTCCTTAATGGAACTAGGAATATATGTTTTGTAAGAGACTATTCAGTACCTGAGGTCTACAAAACTGCATGTTTACAAAAACGTTTACCTGCCATACTTGATATACTGATGAGATTTCAAAGCTGTTAGTGCTTATTGGTATTTTATACTCCTTAATGGAACTAGGAATATATGTTTTGTAAGAGACTATTCAGTACCTGAGGTCTACAAAACTGCATGTTTACAAAAACGTTTACCTGCCATACTTGATATACTGATGAGATTTCAAAGCTGTTAGTGCTTATTGGTATTTTATACTCCTTAATGGAACTAGGAATATATGTTTTGTAAGAGACTATTCAGTACCTGAGGTCTACAAAACTGCATGTTTACAAAAACGTTTACCTGCCATACTTGATATACTGATGAGTCGTCCTTTTGATTGCCGTATCAGAGGCAGAAAGACTTGTGTAATTTCCACACTACCAATAAAATTCACATCTAAGAATTTTTTAATTGACAGAATTTCTCCATCACACACATTGTTCACTAGTGCCCAGAGTCAAGTCATAAAAAATAACATGAATTCACTAGTCCGTATGTATACTACTAAACTTTAAACAGTAACATTTCTTCATGATTGTTAGTAAAGCTTATTGCCACTATGAGAGAGTTTGCCAGGGCATTGCTATGTGGTTACTACAGTGTTCTGAGGGGTTTGTAGCATGTTGCTAAGCAGTTTCTTGGGTGTCCTGGGTTGTTATAGGCCTTGCTGGGATATTTTGGGTTATGCAGTTTCTTTGGCATTCTAATCTACTATGCGTTTGCTAGGGTGTTGTTTGGATAGTTGCTAGAATATATTTCTAAAAGGTCGCAATAGGGATTTCGCCTAGGGCGTCAAATTGGCTAGAAACGGCCCTGGTTCTGAGGGTTGCTATGCAGTCGTTATGGTGTTCTTGGTGGCTTTTAGCATTTCCATGTGATTGCTATGCAGATTCTAAGCGTCTTGTTGTCTTCAGAGCACCTTTATCATTTGGTTTCTGCGTAGACCTGCGTTCGCCTCTCTTGTTATTTACATCACATACGCAAATTGGTGGGTGGGGCTAAACAGGCAGTGATGTAGAATCGGTAGGCGGAGCTAAACAGGCAGTGATTTAGAATCAGTGGGCGGGGCTAAACTGATAAACTGAGGCAGTGCTGTAGAATGTGTAGATGGGGCTAAACAGTGATGTAGAAGCAGGCATTGATCATCTTCTGCGGAGGCGGTGCTTATCCACACTATTACATCATAGAGTAGAACATTCCAAAAGCTGTTGTTTTTGACAGACTGCCTTCAATATAAGCTGTTTTTAGACTAAAGAGAAAGATTTGAGTTCTGAAACTTACATAATGTTTTTATAGTGCACTGACCTGATGTCAAAATATCAAGGGACTTTTGATTTCTCAGTTCATGACCCCTTTAAGGTGTTGCTGTTAAGTAGTAAATAGGTTATTCTGTGTGATTGCTAGGATATTACTAAGTGAGTGCTCTGGGAAGTTGCTATGTGGTTGCTAGAATGTTCCATATTATTGCTAAGATGTTTCTAAGTGGTAACTATGGTATTTTGGCTGGTTGCTAGGGCTTTTTAAGCAGATGCTATGCGGTTGCTTGAGTGTTCTATATAGTTGCTAGGATATTGCTAAGTGGGTGTTCTGGGTAGTTGCTGTGCAGTTGCTAAAATGTTCTAAGTGGTTGCTATGCATTTGCTAAGGCGTCCATGGTGGTTTTGAGGATGTTTTGAGTGGTTTTAATAGTATTCATTCATTCATTATAAATCAAAAGACTCAAGTCTTTATGAGATTGTAGTCTCCGGATATGGTTCAGATCTCTTCTTCAGTGTAAGTCAGTGAGGTTTTCTCACCTGTTTGGCTCTGGATGTACTGGTGTGCCTGTGTGATCTGGCTGCTGTTGGTGATGTCTAACTGTAGGACGGTGAGGTTTGGTGATGCAGCTTTCTTAAGCTCCAGAGCTCCAGGACTGAGTTCATCCAGAACCCCTGCAAACACCCTCATCCCTGCGCTGTCTAAAAACCTGGCCAGATCATGACCAAAACCCGAATCACAACCTGTGAGACAAACACAAGTTCAGTTTCGCCGCATATTCCACAATTCCAATGCATTATGGGTAGTATTGGGTAGCCGTCATTGAAAGCATCTATGTAATAATGTAGCAGCTCATATTTGTTTATCATTTTAATCTGTACAGAAGCCAGTCTGTGTCAAGAGACATCACAAGAATGCAGTGATTTATGGTCTTATAGAAACCAGTGCAGTTAACCTTACGGAGAGAAGTGCAAAGTGGCAGAGAAATATTGATTTATTGGGTCAAACATATTCACATTTCATTGCATAAAGACAATTTTGGGACCAATTATTTTGTATGTACAGTGACATTTTTTCATGACTATTAAGAATATTTACCCCCAAAATCATATTATCATTACTATAATACTGTATTTACGGCTTTATTTTTTTTTATCAGCCTAAAGACATTAGGCATTTTTTTAAAAATTATTTATATATACTGTTATTTATATAATTTATATATACTGTCAATGCTGATAACATTACTATATTGATTTTTTGACTGTAAATTCAGGACTGTAAATTTGGGAGGAATGCCATAAAACAATGTCACAATGCAAAAAAAAAAAAGTCCTAAAATTAGGCTTCATTTCTTAATACAAGCTGTAATTTCTTACTTTATATCTAACTCTTGATTTAGTTCTTGTTTTTGAGAGGTTTAATGAGATTCACCCTTCTAGAATCAGTGAAAGACAATTGATATATATTGAGATTCATAATATATACAAATGCACAAACAGAATTTAGCCACAGGACAGTGTCTTACCTGTGATCAGTACCGCCTTGTTTTGGGTAGGCAAGATGGCCCCTTCTCTCCCTACATAGTGGACAACACTACACAGCACACTCACAAGGCCTACTTTAAGAGCACTTGAATGGACCAAACAGCTCAACGTCACTCCAGGAACCACGAGCAGCACCAACCACCTCACCGACCGGCCCTCAGCAACCCGCAGAAGCCCAACACAGACCACCAGCAGCAGATCGTATAGAAACCCCAGACAGCCTTCAACAATCCCCTCCATGTCTACACCACGCGCAGGAATGAAGCAGCCAATGCTATCAGGAGGTCTAGAAAGGCGCCTGTGAGATTACAACCTGTCTATTGCGCTCAGCTGGTTTGTTGAGTGTGTGAATCTTGTAAATCTTTCAGGTTTTGTGCTTCACACTGCACACAGACATGAATCCCGCCCTCAACCAGTGCATATTATATTTTGTATATTTAGGCATGTGTAAACATGCCTACGGCTGTAGAAAAATTGGGCTGGAGGTGAATTCTATCATTTTATTATATAAAACTCTAGTCCATGTTTCATCTTAAAAAAACAAACAGCTACATTGAAACAAACGAAAACTATAAAATAAAAGGATATGGATGATACAATGTAATGTGCTTTTAACATCATAATTGGATGCATTAATCTGATGAACTGCAAGATTGCACTTGTCGTCTCAAAGGTCTTTTGGCTTGACAGCATTTCAATAGACATTTGGATCTACTTTCATAACCACCAAGTTTTAGTATCAAGTTCAAGTAATTCTAGATGGATTTTGGACAGAAATAAGATTCAAGTTTCCAGGTGAGCTGATTTGGTAATACGTTCATTTCAGGTAACTGGGACTTTGTTTCTAGAGAGTATGAGGTGGAAAAAAGGGGATCCTCTAAAACAGCTTGTACAACCAATTAGGGATCTGGTGCTGGTCTATGTAATGGACACTTAACTTGTCATCTTTGAGGAAATTTTGCTGAACAAAAAGAACATGCAGCCAGGCAAGGAAGGTGACATAATACATTTATTGTGGTTTCATTGGTCCAAAGGAGAACATGAAATCCATCTAGAATGCGCAGTGCAAACAGATAGTCATCCATACTGGTCCACAGATACATGATCGAGTCAAATCTTACACAACACACAAGAATCTCATGGCTTATAGATGATGACAGACAAAGTGCTCGTCCTCCTTGTCTAGGCTTACCGTCTGAACTATGCCAAGTGTTAATACATAATTCACTAATCTCATTGGATGAGGGGGCCGGCAGAGGTAGGGTTAAAGGGGAGGAAACATTTAAGAGCGGTTCTTCTTGAAGAAGCTGATGAGTCCGTTGGTGGAGGAGTCGTGGGAATGAACGTCTGCGTCGTCCTGCAGCTCGGGTTCGATCTTCTTGGCCAGCTGCTTGCCGAGCTCCACGCTGATGGGAGAGATAAAATAATCTGTAAATGTACGCATGCCTGAAACTTCAGATTTCTCAAAGCAAACAATTTCTCACAAGGTGGTCACAATATGGAGGAAAAGATCTGTCGCTACTTCAGTTTCATAGCAACTTTTGAACTGGACCCAATCAAAGCGGAAAACACTTTGATCTGGACTCACCCCCATTGGTCATAGCTGTTGATATCCCACATCACACCTTGCACAAAGATCTTGTGTTCATACATTGCTGAAAAATATGAACAAATGCATCACATTGTCCATGAGTGTGGGGTCAACAAAACCAACGGACATCTACAAAAGGAAGTAGCGGTATATCATGTTTGATACTCACCAACGAGTGCACCAAGCATGAAAGGAGTAAGTTTCTTGAAGATGATAGAGTTGCTTGGCTTGTTTCCTTCAAAAACCTACAAAACAAAAAAAAAAGCAATGTGTCATTATACAAAAACGGACCACATGTATGGGAGTTAGTGTTGTCAAAAGTACCGACCGTGATACCATTCAGTACTGAAATTTTAAAAACGTCCATTTCCCGCTAAGATTTGAGCACTGTTGAGCAGATTCTTAAACAGCGCTGATCGGCCATTGTGTTCACGCGCTCAACAGATACGTCTGTGATTGGCTTCGAATAACTTCACCGAGAGCTCGCACAGAAACGGGAAATGGGCGTTTTTAAAATTTCAGTACCGAATGGTATCGTGGTCGGTACTTTTGACAACGCTAACGAGAGTAAATTGAAATATTACACACCAGAGGATCATGCCACATAAAGTAAAAGATTCAAACGGTTTAAATATTCTGACTTCCCAACTATACCGCAGTACTATGTCCGAATTGACTGTCACAAAACAGTAGGTGAAAAGTACCCGGATGACCAACTATCTTTGGCGGGATTCTAAAGCATGCATCCATTGGACACATTACCATCCTATTAGGCCATAGGAGAAGACTAGTAAATAGTAGATTCGTAAATAAGCCACGCAACTCGTGTCAAGTGACGTCAAAGGCCAAGTATGTTAACCCGCACTCAGAATTTGTCCTCTGCACCCAGGGAGCAATTGACCCTTCACAAAGACCCACCCCCCTTAGTTACTGTTGCTATGTCCGACAAGCCATGTTGCTTTCACGCCACACATCATGTTCTCACGCAGTGAAAAATATATCGCGGAGCAAAGAGGAAACACACAACACGCCGACAGACAAGACAGAGCAGGTTACTTCTGGTATGAAAAAGTCTTAGCTTTCAAATGTTGTCTTTTTTAATCAATTCAAACAATAAATACCGTTTTGTGTGTCGTGACAGATCGCTGTAGCGCCTCAGTTCAAGCGGTACCTGAACCGATCGTTTCTTCCTCTTTTCTAGTTTTAGCATGAAATACACACGAATGAACATCAGAAGGGATCCGCGGAAAGCTGTCAATACACACAATTTTTCAAGTTCAAGTCCACCGACGTTAATCTACTCTCCTGTCTGCAGAAGGGTCAATTTTGGGTTCGGTGTCTTGTTTAAGGGCATCTCAGTCGTGGATACGGAGTGTGGAAGAGAGCACTGTTCATTCACCTACATTTCCTGCTGATATTGAGAATCGAACCTGCAACCATCTGGTAACAAGTCTGACTCTCTAACCATTAGGTCACAACTGCTCATGTTGTAGGTCACATGACAGTGCCAATATGGTAGATTTAGTGGGCCTCATTTATCAATCTAACGTAGAAACGAGCGCAGATCCGTGCGCACAAATCAACTTACGACAGAGTTCCTGTGTGATTCATGAAACATTCGTATGCCGCCAATCTCATCGTACGAATGATCGCATGTTGATAAATGTGGCGGCAGAAAACAACCGTCATTTGAATATCAGGCCCCTAAAAACACCCCGTTTAGAAGCCTCGCCCCTAGAGTTTACGACTTGGAGAAACAAAACCCGGCCAAAAATAGGAAGTAATCTCATGAAATAGAAATTGATCTTACTCCAAAAAACACCCGTTAACCTTGTAATTGCAAACAATTAAGCTACATTAAATTATTTAATTCATATTAAAATACTGGTAAATATAAACATTATAGCCTATTTACTTCCCCTCACTGTACAACAAATATTTTTAATTTAACGTAATTCAGAACAGAACAAGAATGAAAAATAAGTAGTTATAAAATTATATTAAACTATATAATAAAACACAAATTAGGCTTTAGTGGCATTCATTATAAACAGCACGCAAATGTCAAGCAAAACTGAAACAGCATTGGGCTCACGAGCCTGTCTCATAATACAAGAATTCAAATGTTTACATTTTTGCCATTTGTAACAGTTGGTTGCTTAACTTATTATGTAGCCCAAACATGGCTTTATACTTCACTCATGTTCTAATATATCCACGTAAAATCCTTCACATGCATAAAAATGTTTGTTTGGGCGCTGCACGCTGATTTCACAGCGGACCTTTAAAAATAAACACTGTAACTTTTATGTTTGGTTGACTGCATTTTAGTTTCATGATGAATGGCTGAAAAGTCAAGCAACACTAGAACTAATGTTGTGTGTGTGTGTGTGTGTGTGTGTGAGGAGCCTGCGCGATCAGATGGATTAAATCAAATTAAGATATATATAAAAAAAAAAATGCATTAAGAGTGTCACAAAAACAAACGTAGCCTATACTTGTTGCACATTTTTTTTCCCTTTTGTTAATTATATTAGAGCCTATTATATATTTTGTGTGGTCCTATTTATTTTATTCCTTTTATAGACTTATTTTCTGTTTTTCTCCATTCACAGAAGTGCTGCAGGTGCTTGATGCGTCGATGTGTGAATCCTCATGGTCTTGTTTACGCTGCTATTCACGCATATAAAGCTAAAGCCCTGAATAAAAAAAAAAACAAACAAAAAAATAAAAAACATTCTAATCTTACTGGTCTGTGATCGACTAATGAGCTTCGGTTGGTGGTCAGGAAAATAACCTAAATGAACAAAATGCTGTCATTCTACAATTCTCCACCAGATTTACTATGCTGCGTTCAAGTTAACTCAAAAACTTGCGTACACGAGCTGAGACCAGACGTGAGATTTGATCGTAGCCACCGCTCACGTCCATATTGATAAATTCCAAGTTTTGCGTTGAAACGACCGTACGCCCAATTTTCTGTCGTACGTTCGTTTCGTAAAGGAGGCCCAGTATGTTCAGATTGCATTCATCCTACACACACTCATACTAAATTGAACGTGCTTGTGTAATGGTGGCAAATAAAATACTTTTTCAAAAGAAGCATCTACCATGTGATTTTGGCGAGTTTGAAAATGTGCACTGTTTGGTGTGCCTCCAGGAACAGGGTTGGGAAACACTCGTTTTGCTAGGGGTAGAAAACCCTGCTCCTAAAGAGAGCTATTTTCCTGCAATCCCAAGCCTGCTTCAACACACCTGCCTGTAATTTTCAAGAGCTCTTCCAGGAACAGGGTTGGCTACCCCTGCTTTAGGCGATCTTGGCAATGCTTTTGTATATTCAAACAAAATCCCTGCATGACCATAACACACCGATGGAAGCGCATTTGTCAATGCATGTCCACTAACCACCAGGCTACAGTTCCAGTTTAGATACAAAGGATTGTGTATCGACACTTGGTTTCAAGTAAAGAACCACTCACTTTATGGGGCAAGAGTTTTTCCAGTGCATCTCCAGACATCCCAGCACCCTGGAGCTCCTTCTTGGCCTCTTCAGGGGTCTTTCCCCTCATCAGAGCCTCCGTCTGCGCCAGGAAGTTTGCCATCAAGATCTAACGGATTTATGAAACGAGACGTAACACTTAGACAAACACGGCTCAAATAACATGAAATAACATCAGATGCCCAAGAGAACCAGAAAACAAAGACGTGTCCTGAACCACGTAGACCGTGGGCTTACCTTATGATGCAGATTATCTCTGATAGGATGCTGACTCTGAGCAGGAATGAGGAAGTCAGCCGGAATCAAGCGAGTGCCTGCGGAGATTAAGATCTGTTGTGATAAACACATCACAAATGGGCATTAGTATGCCAATTAAACTAGGAACTGGTCCACAGGGGAGGGTTAGGATCACAGACCCTGGTGAATGAGCTGGTAGAAGGCATGCTGTCCGTTGGTTCCTGGTTCCCCCCATACAATAGGTCCAGTGTGGTAATTCACACGAGTGCCAGACTTGGTGATGTACTTCCCGTTGGACTCCATGTCTCCCTGAAAGATCACCAACAACTCAACAAGCGTCCTGCTATAAGAAACAATGAAGTCCTTTCCTAGAACCTCATCAGACCGACCTGCTGGAAGTACGCAGCGAAGCGGTGCATGTACTGGTCGTAGGGCAGCAGGGCATGTGTCTCGGCCTGGAAGAAGTTGACGTACCAGACGCCGAGCAGGGCCAGTATGACCGGGGCGTTCTGCTCCAGAGGAGCCGAGCGGAAGTGGTTATCCTAACAGAAAGAGTACAGAGCGGTTACTCCCAGAAACACAAACTCTCAGACGCTCCTGAGGTAGACAGTTTGGTACAGTAATGCTTATCTTGTATCCTGGCATACTACAGTTGTGCTTACCATCCAGTGAGCACCAGCTAGAAGCTGCTCAAAACTGTCAAAACCTATAAGACGACAATTAATAAAGTTACTGGATCATTTACAGACAAAAAAAAAAAAAAGTCATGACCATAACACACCGATGGAAGCGCATTTGTCAATGCATGTCCACTAACCACCAGGCTACAGTTCCAGTTTAGATACAAAGGATTGTGTATCGACACTTGGTTTCAAGTAAAGAACCACTCACTTTATGGGGCAAGAGTTTTTCCAGTGCATCTCCAGACATCCCAGCACCCTGGAGCTCCTTCTTGGCCTCTTCAGGGGTCTTTCCCCTCATCAGAGCCTCCGTCTGCGCCAGGAAGTTTGCCATCAGGATCTACCGGATTCATGAAACGAGAGAGTGCTTCGTAACCCTTAGACAAACATGGCTCAAATAACATCTGGAGCATCAGTCACCCAAGAGAAGCAGAAAACAAAGACGTGTCCTGAACCACGTAGACCGTGGGCTTACCTTATGATGCAGATTATCTCTGATAGGATGCTGACTCTGAGCAGGAATGAGGAAGTCAGCCGGAATCAAGCGAGTGCCTGCGGAGATTAAGATCTGTTGTGATAAACACGTCACAAATGGGCATTAGCATGTCAATTAAACTAGGAACTGGTCCACAGGGGAGGGTTAGGATCACAGACCCTGGTGAATGAGCTGGTAGAAGGCATGCTGTCCGTTGGTTCCTGGTTCCCCCCACACGATGGGTCCAGTGTGGTAATTCACACGAGTGCCAGACTTGGTGATGTACTTCCCGTTGGACTCCATGTCTCCCTGAAAGATCACCAACAACTCAACAAGTGTCCTGCTATAAGAAACAATGAAGTCCTTTCCTAGAACCTCATCAGACCGACCTGCTGGAAGTACGCAGCGAAGCGGTGCATGTACTGGTCGTAGGGCAGCAGGGCATGTGTCTCGGCCTGGAAGAAGTTGACGTACCAGACGCCGAGCAGGGCTAGTATGACCGGGGCGTTCTGCTCCAGAGGAGCCGAGCGGAAGTGGTTATCCTAACAGAAAGAGTACAGAGTGGTTACTCCCAGAAACACAAACTCTCAGACGCTCCTGAGGTAGACAGTTTGGTACAGTAATGCTTATCTTGTATCCTGGCATACTACAGTTGTGCTTACCATCCAGTGAGCACCAGCTAGAAGCTGCTCAAAACTGTCAAAACCTATAAGACGACAATTAATAAAGTTACTGGATCATTTACAGACAAAAAAAAAAAAAGTGTGTAAATAGTCTATCAGTGCTAATGGTCTAAGATGATGCATTAGCAGTCTTTCAAATATGGTTCAGGCAGAAGTTAGTCCAGAAACATACTCTATACAAGTACATAAATGTGAATGTTTGGCCAGAGCTTGATTACCAAATAAACCTAACCAGAACCTAACTACCAAAACAAACCATATTTTTGGGAATAACAATGATGAATCATTCACAGTAGGAACAGGAACATGGATTAAGAACGTAAAGAGAATTTGAATTTAAACCAATTTATCTAGTTAACTCAAGTTCTCTCTGTGGTTCCTAATGACACTAGTTGACCTGAAAGAACAAACTGAAAATCTGGTTATGCGAATACAGAATACCTGTTATAGCGCCCCCTCTGGCAATGCAGAGAATGCAAAACGTACTTGAATTGCATTCTGATTTTATGTACAACAACCAAAACACACCAAATCAAAGTTGCATATCTAGAAGCATTTGCGTTCACATGCATGTTTCAGGCCTTATAGGACTGTTCATACAGCAGACGTACCTATGTGCAGTGCAATGGACAAACCGATAGCCGACCACAGCGAGTAGCGCCCGCCGACCCACTAAAACATGAGCATTCAGGATCAGAGAAACAGTCTGGGCTTTGAGAAGCAATATGCTAATTCAGGAACATGGCAGAGTAGTCAAATATTACTGGCAATCATGCAATCAGTCATTTACACTTTCAGGCATATTTTCAGCCAATCAAAATGAAGATTTCCATTCTCGTGCAATAATAGATTATAATGCACAGAATACTTACATCCCAAAACTCAAACATGTTGTTGGTGTCGATACCAAAGTCCTTGACTTTTGGCTGGTGAGGAGACAGGAAATTCATGTAACTTTTTTTAAATATATGATTTTATATCGAAACTATCATACAGCTGACATAACCCTGTACTTACTGCATTTGTGGAAAGAGCCACAAAATGTTTAGCCACAGCAGATGTCTGAAAATACACAAAAAGCTGAATGAGACTAACAGACAACCATCTATAATGTAGCGCACATAATTTAATATTTTTTTAGACAGTTACAGCAGTAAAGGTACTAACATCTTTAGCGGCCCGGAGGAACCATTCTTTGGCCGTCTCAGCGTTAGTGATGGTCTCTTGGGTGGTGAATGTCTAAAAAACAAAATACATTAAGAAATTTAGTACTTTACAGTAACCCGTTTACTTTGTATTACCAGTTTTGTTTAATATAAGTGTAAATGAACACTACAGTACTGTACAAGATTGTTTTCTTTACCTTGGATGCGATGATGAAGAGGGTGGTCTCAGTGTTGAGCTGGGCGAGGGTCTTGGCCATGTGCGTGCCATCAATATTAGAGACGAACCAGACGTTGGGTCCTCCTTTAGAGTACGGCTTCAGAGCTTCAGTCACCATCAGAGGACCCTGAAGAACAAAACGAAACATAATAAATGCTATTCCAAACATTACACAAGTATTGTTCGTGATAACCAGACTTGACTCGATGAGTCCTAGCCGTCAGGATAAAACAACTGTCTAACAGTATTTACTGCCATTTCAGTCCAGAATCAGGCAACACTTAGTATGATAATTGTAACTGACTATAACAGACAGTTTTATTCCACTTCAGTTACTCTTGGATCAGTCTAAGCAACAGCCAAATCTCTTTTATTGGTCAATTATGATGTGTAAACATCCACTGGATCTCAGGAAACTCATGGTAATCTCACCAAGTCAGAACCACCAATGCCAATGTTCACAACATCAGTGATGGCTTTACCACTGAAGCCTTTCCACTCGCCACTGCGCACTCTCTGCAAAATAACACACATACGCAATGTCAGTTTTCAGGAATTTTCATAGTCAGCTGTCATTGAAATGAATGATCAATTAATAATAAATTATTACTTTAAAATGCAATAAACGTAGTACTATTTGTACCCATGTAAAATAAATAAATACTATAAATTATAAATACTATAAATAAGAGATTGTGGCTGTCATACCCTGTCAAATGTGGCTTTACCGAGCTCAAGGGCTCTAGCCCAAGCTGTGATATAAACGAACGCAATTGGCGATTTAAAAAAGGGGGCGGGGCTGCTTGATATGTCCCGCCCTGTCTTCCTGTTTCAGTTAAACTGACGCCAACACATAAAATAACGGTGCGTGTTTCAAGGCACTTCAGTACACCTTTAATAAGTGAAAATTCATAAAAAAAAAAAAAAGTGTTCTATAAACGAGTGGGTTGTTACACGCATGTTCAACTCACATGGCAAAAGCCCTTCATCTGCTCCAGGACTCTGTTCACGTCCGGCATCACGTCTTTACCTTCCACCATGATGGGAGTGTTCGAGCGGTTCCTCAGGGCGGTGTGGAGAACAGCACGACCCTACAAACCAACACACATATAATATATAGCAACTATGCTCCCTTTTTTATTGACATGTTTCATACCATGAGCCACAAAAGAGACAATACATGCTGTAGTTTCAGGACAGCCAGTGAGTTAAATGGGAAACTGAGGATTTTAACAGAACTTTCTGCTATGTGCCAATAGAAATTTAGAGAAGATGGAAGTGGAACTTACACAGAACCAAATTCTAGAAGGAACATGCCTTGCAATTTAAACCTAAAATCAAGCTCAATTTAATTCTCAGTGAAATGTTTTACCGAGATATCATTACCTCAGTGAAGTTAATCTTTTCTCCAGCAAACATCTTCTCTCTGGCAGCTTCAACGCCCACCGATCGTGCCTAATCATGATGAGACAGGAAAAAAACGGTTAATGTGACTCAGAACTTACATACACACAAAGAACTATACAAACACCAATTGTGCTTTGTGTGCTTCTGTGATTACTGTAAGAAATGTGCTGCATTGGAGTGATACAGTTTCACAATCTCTACTTTGATTGGCTGAAGAGAGCACTGAAGTGAAGAAGTACCGAGTCAGGTTAAATATGAGCTGTGATGGCAACTAAAGCTCAATCCAATATAAACTTGCAATTCTGAGAAAAAGATGTATAGTAGGAATTGTGAGATGTAAAGTCAGAAATTGTGAGACGCAAAGTCTGAACTGTGAGACGCAAAATTGGAATTGTGAGGCCCAAAGTCAAAATTGTGAGATGCAAAGTTGGAATTCTGAGAAAGAATTCAGAATTGTGAGATTTAAACTCAGAATTGTGCTATGCAAATTTGGAATTGTGAGACGCAAAGTCGGAACTGTGATACGCAAAGTCGGAACTGTGAGACGCAAAGTCGGAATTGTGAGATGCAAAGTCGGAATTCTGAGAAAGAATTCAGAATTGTGAGATTTAAACTCAGAATTGTGCTATGCAAATTTGGAATTGTGCTATGCAAATTTGGAATTGTGAGACGCAAGGTCGGAACTGTGAGACGCAAGGTCGGAAGAGACGCAAAGTCGGAACTGTGAGACGCAAAGTCGGAATTGTGATATGCAAAGTCGGAACTGTGAGACGCAAAGTCGGAATTGTGAGACGCAAAGTCGGAATTGTGAGACGCAAAGTCGGAACTGTGAGACGCAAAGTCGGAACTGTGAGACGCAAAGTCGGAACTGTGAGACGCAAAGTCGGAACTGTGAGACGCAAAGTCGGAACTGTGAGACGCAAAGTCGGAACTGTGAGACGCAAAGTCGGAACTGTGAGACGCAAAGTCGGAACTGTGAGACGCAAAGTCGGAACTGTGAGACGCAAAGTCGGAACTGTGAGACGCAAAGTCGGAACTGTGAGACGCAAAGTCGGAACTGTGAGACGCAAAGTCGGAACTGTGAGACGCAAAGTCGGAACTGTGAGACGCAAAGTCGGAACTGTGAGACGCAAAGTCGGAATTGTGAGACGCAAAGTCGGAATTGTGAGACGCAAAGTCGGAATTGTGAGACGCAAAGTCGGAATTGTGAGACGCAAAGTCGGAATTGTGAGACGCAAAGTCGGAATTGTGAGACGCAAAGTCGGAATTGTGAGACGCAAAGTCGGAATTGTGAGACGCAAAGTCGGAATTGTGATATGCAAAGTCGGAACTGTGAGACGCAAAGTCGGAATTGTGATATGCAAAGTCGGAACTGTGAGACGCAAAGTCGGAATTGTGATATGCAAAGTCGGAACTGTGAGACGCAAAGTCGGAACTGTGAGACGCAAAGTCGGAACTGTGAGACGCAAAGTCGGAACTGTGAGACGCAAAGTCGGAACTGTGAGACGCAAAGTCGGAACTGTGAGACGCAAAGTCGGAACTGTGAGACGCAAAGTCGGAACTGTGAGACGCAAAGTCGGAACTGTGAGACGCAAAGTCGGAATTGTGAGATGCAAAGTCGGAATTCTGAGAAAGAATTCAGAATTGTGAGATTTAAACTCAGAATTGTGCTATGCAAATTTGGAATTGTGCTATGCAAATTTGGAATTGTGCTATGCAAATTTGGAATTGTGCTATGCAAATTTGGAATTGTGCTATGCAAATTTGGAATTGTGCTATGCAGATTTGGAATTGTGAGGCCCAAAGTCGGAATTGTGAGGCCCAAAGTCGAAATTGTGAGATCCAAAGTCAAAATTGTGAGATGCAAAGTCGGAATTCTGAGAAAGAATTCAGAATTGTGAGATTTAAACTCAGAATTGTGCTATGCAAATTTGGAATTGTGCTATGCAGATTTGGAATTGTGAGGCCCAAAGTCGGAATTGTGAGGCCCAAAGTTGGAATTGTGAGATCCAAAGTCAAAATTGTGAGACGCAAAGTTGGAATTCTGAGAAATAATTCAGAATTGTGAGATTTAAACTCAGAATTGTGCTATGCAAATTTGGAATTGTGCTATGCAAATTTGGAATTGTGAGACGCAAGGTCGGAACTGTGAGACGCAAAGTCGGAACTGTGAGACGCAAAGTCGGAATTGTGAGGCCCAAAGTCGGAATTGTGAGACGCAAAGTCGGAATTGTGAGACGCAAAGTCGGAATTGTGAGACGCAAAGTCGGAATTGTGGTATGCAAATTTGGAATTGTGATATGTAAAGTCAGAATTTCGAAACGTAAAGTCAGAATTGTGAGATGTAATGTTGGAATTGCAAGATGCAAAGACAGAATTGTGAGATGTAAACTCTGAATTGCGAGAAAAGTCAGATTTCTGAGTTTATATCTCGCAATCTAGCAATTCTAACATTTTTATCATAACTGCGAGATTATTCATTGCTCCCATGTTTGCGCTGCCAAATTATGCATATAAGTATACTATTGCTGCAGACAAGCGCCAACTTAAAGCTCAAACTACTTAAACATTACACCACACACAGGCCTTGTGTGTCCCAGTGATACGTTTAACCCGATTCATCCATTCTATTCTCAGTAGTAGCAGCTTTAAGGACACATGCATTAAGCCAATTAACATCTGGAGATGGACAAACACACACATGCTTCTGATGAGGAGTTTAAAGATGCTTAGCTGAGAGATTACAGTAACAGCTCCGCTCCTGCACTGCTGTTTAACACTAACACTCTCTACTCTGATTTTATGAAGAAATTATTCTGATGTGAAGACTGTGGACCGTACCATGTCGAAGAGCATGCGCAGGACTTCTTCATTGATGAGATTCTTGGAGTAATCCAGCAGAATGTCTCCATCCTCTGTCGTCAGCTGTAAACTGCTCAGAAGACAAATCACACACATCATCAGGATATACAAAAAAATGTTCTTCATGTACAACACGGATAATCCAGGAACATCATTCAAGCCTAGTATATACACAAGTGAGAGGATTTTAGTGATGTTTAGACTGGGAAAATGAATTAAACAGACGAGGAAAGCTAAACGAGCCATTTGAGAAAATGTATTAGGCCCATCGCACTGTTATTTTAAGCAGTGAGCCTCGAATTGCAGCAATGAATTACACTCAAATAAATATTTTTTCAAATATTTTTTAATTATTATTCTTCCCCTCACAATTTAAATTCCTGATCTATCCTTTACAAAAATGTAATGGCAAAATTTAAAAAAAAAAAAATACCACAGAAGCCGTTTTTACCTAATATTTAGCATCTAAAACTAAATTAACAGTTTTATTGTAGTAACAATAACTAAGAGACTATAGTCACCACAATAATATATATTTTGTATATTAACATACATTTGCATACAATTTGTAGGAAAATTATACAATCATTATATATACAAATTTTATACATTATATAGAAAAAGTTCATTTACTTAAACGTATAAATATACATTTATACTGTTCATTATTATTATTATTATGATTATTATTATTATATAAATTAATTATATAGCTCGTTCTACAATTTCACGTTATTACATCAGCAGTGCAAACACGTGCTTGTTCCAATGAGGTTATGTTTAAAGTACAATTCTTAGATATAACAATTACGTTGGAGTTGAATATTATTATGCATATAATAACTGAAATCAAATTAATCCTAACTATATTAGACTTAAATATGGTGAATGCATATAAAATGTGTTACTATCCACACCACACGTTCAGTATAATTCACGCACTGATTAAATCGTCAAAAAGAAAACCAAAAAAACACCAATGAAAAGTGGTTTGACGATGAGTGTAAAAGACTTAGAACGACAGTACGAAATCTTTCAAATAAAAAACACAGAGATCCTGACAACCAAGAACTCCGTCTTCAATATCATGAAGCTCTTAAAGTGTACAAACAAACTCTAAAAGCAAAAAAGGAAGAGCATACAGAACAATTATTTCAGGAATCAATAAATACCAATAACTTTTGGAACAATTGGAACACTCTCTATAGACCACAAAAGGAAGAATTGGCCATTCAAAATGAGAACATATGGAGGACACACTTTGAAAATCTGTACAAAACAACTGAAACAATGAAATGAAATAAAAACCAAATTAGAAATCCTGAAAGAAAAAGTTAAAGACAATCAGAATCCCCTGGATTTCCCAGTCACAGTAAATGAGCTAACAGACAGACTACATGCACTAAAACCCAACAAAGCATGTGGCATCGACGGAATCTGTGCATTTAATTAAAGAGTCATAAAAGAAACTCATATTAGTATGCTGCCACATAAGAGCAGTGTTAAAGTGCACGCAGAGCTCAAACACACATGATCGATGATCAATGACCTTGTTATGCGTTTGGCCAACACTCTTCTGAGAATAAATACATACTACAGACTTTTATGAACACTTAATACATCAGAATCTAACCTATAACAGCTAATGCACGCTCATACGAATAGACTATTGTAAATACGCAACATATAAACACAGAAGTATCGCAGCAGAGGACGTGATACTCCCTTAAGAGATTGCATAAGCAGTGAGTGCACTTGAGAAATGCCTGATAATGTGCATTTAATTAAAGAGTCATAAAAGAAACTCATATTAGTATGCTGCCACATAAGAGCAGTGTTAAAGTACACGCAGAGCTCAAACACACATGATCGATGATCAATGACCTTGTTATGCGTCTAGCTGATATTGTGGCAATGTTTACTGTTTTAAAGCAAAGATAAACAGTTAATCATACCATCAGTGTGTTTATATGAGTGTAAATGAAGATATAAAGCAGATGCAACAGTGCAGAGGGCGGAACCTGGAGCTCGAGACTCTTGGCCTGATGGGGCAATAACCTTGCAACATCAACGTGCAAATCCAGGCTGACATGTAACGCTAAATGTAACGATATGCGCATATATATGTGTCCTGATATTAAATGAAGATGCTATCTTACAAAACGGTGCATAAATTGTGTTATATACAAGAGATTTGCTCATAGCCACTTCCTCTCATCCCTATGCAGCGATTTTGTTATCCTTCTAGAGAAACAAATGAAGAGAGAAAAAGTAAATAGCTACAAAAAAAAACCAAAAAACTAAAAACCAAGTAATTTATAATGTGTATAATTTAGATCTTTTCCCAAGATACATTAAAAAAATTTATAATAATAATATTTTCACAGCTGATTCTTTGGTTTATAGTTATTGTACTTATTTCCCATTAAAGAACATGTTCTTATAAATTTGGTCGCAGGGTTGAATGGCTGTGCTACATAAATGCTATCATACCAACTATGGGTAAAAAAAATAAATCAATACAGAAAACATTTTTCTGTGCACCATTGTGCAGAAAGATCTGACCAAACGATGCCACTTCCATGATGTCAATTAAAAGGAACACCCCATTGTTAAATAGTGGGAGAATCATGCGATAACGGGGTCGCACACTCTTTTTAGAGTAAATTAATCTGTGGAACGTAAATTCAGTTAATTGTGGGAAAAGTTACATCGTTGGATATTTTGGTTTTATTAGTTGGATACATTCGAAGTGCTCAAGTTAGGTGGGCCAAAATCCAAACCCAAAATTTTTGATCCCCTACTGCCCATTTGAAGCAAGGTGTCCCCCAGGGATCTGTTCGTGGCCCACTATTATTCTTTATTTACATTATATATATATATATATCTCAATCGCTGCATTTTTATTTATTTATTTTTTCAGAAAGATGCAGTGGTAACCTTACAATATTATTTTAAGATTTAACATTTATAGATGGTCTAAGGCAAAAGAGTTGTAGAAATTCTGAAAATCTTTTAGAGCTCATAATTCGTTTAAAAAAAAACAACAAAAAAAACATATTACACATTAATGAATACATTTGTATATATAAAATTATTTAATTTACAATTGTCCCGTTTGTGATTTTTTTTTATTCATGTAAGCTATAGGTTCTGACCTTTAAATTAAAACATACTCATGATTTTATTACATTGATACTGCTTTGTTTATTCAGAAATACAAGTTTCTTAGTGATATTTGTGTATTTTACTTTCATTTTGTTACAAGTAGGCCAACAGCGCCCCCCTGTATGTAAATACAACCCCTCACCAGACAGGCATTAGGACCCGGGGAAAGCTGCCGCTGCAGCACGCGCTAGTGATTGTTGACTCTATCACACACCGAACGCATCATCTTGTACGTGCATTCTCAAATTAAATGCAGATATCCAAAACAGTTAAATCTAATCATCATTCAGGCAAAAGTTCACTTCAAGAATGACCACACTGCTGACGTGATCTAATCGCTAGCACATGTGAGTTAATCCTCTTATCGGCAAAACATATCGGGCCGATGCCGATATTTACATTTCAACCCTGAGCACATGTGAGTTAATCCTCTTATCGGCAAAACATATCGGGCCGATGCCGATATTTACATTTCAACCCTGAGCACATGTGAGTTAATCCTCTTATCGGCAAAACATATCGGGCCGATGCCGATATTTACATTTCAAGCCATTATCGGCCGATTCCGATATCGGTTCGATAATATCGTGCATCTCTAATACATTTATATCATAAAGCACATTTATATAAAATGTGGATGTATATCACGAGAATCATTTTTGACTCGTTCATTACCCTGTATTCAAAATCAGAGAACTCTCTTCCTCCTTGACTTCCTCTGAATGCCCCTCTGAAGCCACTTCCACCAGGGTGAGATCCGAACGACCCCCATCCGGCTCCGCGGCCCCGGCCCCCTCTGAAGCCCATACCACCGCGACCTCTGAAGCCTCCGCGGCCCCGCCGCAACGGGAGGCCAAACGTCTCTGCGTTCATCCTCCGCTCCGTCGCCCAGGTCTGCCTCCTCTCTCTTAATGAAATGATGAAAATTACAAATTTTTCGTTGCACGTTTCTACACAAACTGAGGCTACTTCCAATAAGTGCTGGCTTCTGCTGTACTCACCGGGGGAAACCGGACCCTCCAGACCTCTCCTTCCTGTTTAAAATCAGGTACAATGACAAGATTTATGAACTTGTTCATATTAAAGGTTTAGGCTCATATTATTAAAGGTGTGCTGGATGTGATATGACCTTGTGTCGTCACAGGAGATGTTGTCAAAAAAGGATTTGGATTTATCGTAGTAGCATTTTGGTCTGAGAGGATCTTCCTCATCAACGTTTCCTTCGTTGTTCTGAGTGCCGACCCCTGAATCACCCTTATCCTCACCATTCAAAGCTTTATCGCACTTGTCATCTGACCAAACATATACAGTTAATACACAGAGAAATATACCTGCATTTTTCTCTAGACTACAGTATGAGAATGCCATCTGCTGTGAAACTGAGCTCTATACTGAATGCATGTACTTTTAAAAAAATATATATATAAAAACCTGTACTTGCAGAAAAGAGAATATTAATAATAAGAGTACACTTTTTTTTATAATTTTAACTTTATTAGATTTTAAGTTTATAGCAACTTAATCATTATAAATGTGTAATTACAAATGTATTTAAATACATGACATACAAGATTCAATAGAAATGGAATTCAAGTATTTATTTTAGTTTACTATAAATTATTTTCAGTACATTCGTCAGTACTACTTGGGTCCAAAAAAAAAGCACTCCCGTTATACTAATTGCAGTTTGCAAACTTAAACTATAATACATTTCCATTTAATTGCATTTAATAAGCAGTTAAGTGCAAGAAAACATTACATTCAGTTTGTACTAAAGAATATTCTTTCAAAGTATATTAGGTTACACTTTATTTTAAGGTGTCCTTGTTACAGTGTAATTTTACATTTAAGTACTGAGTGATATTAATTGACTACATTTACTTACTATATGGTTAGGGTTAGGATTAGGGTTACCTGCATGTAATTATGCATAATTTATTGTTATTATAATAGTAAGTACATGTAACGTGTAACAAGGACACCTTAAAATAAAGTGTTACCGTATATTTTCTCTGTTTAAAAGTATGCTAACATGTAGTTTATCAGCTGATCTTGCATATTTGGTAACCTGTTTGTACCTTTCAGTTTGAGTTTGCTCTGGAACTCTTTGTCAATCTCGTCTTTGTTGAACTGAGCATTGGCGCTCTCAAAGTCAAAGTCTTTCTCAAACTTCATGGGTCCTTCTCTTCGCACAGGGAACCGTCCTCTACCACGATGACCTCCGGCCCAACCGCGGCGCGCAGAAGGAGGACCACCAGCTGAGCAGAACAAACACACGAGTATAGCTCTAGATACAAATACATTGTCATAAACACATAAAATACACATTTATAAACGTCACAAAAAATAATTAAATTAAGCATGCTGTGACATTCAGTTGCTAATAATATAAATGTAAAAAGTCTATTCTCACAGACTTTAGTTAAGTTTAGTTGTCGGTGTGCAGAAAAAAGCCGTTGTCTACAGAGAAGTAATCAAGCTAAATTAAAACAAGCACAACTTGTGTGAAAACAGTCACCTAAGAATCCTAAGAACACAGAGGCCTTTTCACACAGAGGAGATATGAGCAAATTCAGCATATTGAGTGAATCTCATGAAAACATACTCGGGTCACCATTCCACCAAAATAAAAAACAATATGGGTGCTCAATATGGGTGCAATAGGTGCTCTCCCGCTACAGTTTTAATTAACATCAGCAGATTGGTAAAGTACAAGTGCTACAATTTTAATAACATAACATTACAATGAGACCTTTTCACTTTTTTTGCACATTACAATTATGAGACTTCTGGGGAAAACTTTCTTATTTAGTGAAAATAATGTCACACGTGAAGCCTACTGGTCCAAAAAAACAGGTTTCTTAAATGCATTTGTTCTTTTTAATCGTAGGGTGAAACACTCATCGGGTTGCACTAGATTCACCAATCAGAAGTTCCTCTATAAGAAAGGAGTTTGCTAAAAGCCACTGTGTGGATGCGTGTGAAATACAGATGGAAACTGAGCATTGGCGCTCTCAAAGTCAAAGTCTTTCTCAAACTTCATGGGTCCTTCTCTTCGCACAGGGAACCGTCCTCTACCACGATGACCTCCGGCCCAACCGCGGCGCGCAGAAGGAGGACCACCAGCTGAGCAGAACAAACACACGAGTATAGCTCTAGATACAAATACATTGTCATAAACACATAAAATACACATTTATAAACGTCACAAAAAATAATTAAATTAAGCATGCTGTGACATTCAGTTGCTAATAATATAAATGTAAAAAGTCTATTCTCACAGACTTTAGTTAAGTTTAGTTGTCGGTGTGCAGAAAAAAGCCGTTGTCTACAGAGAAGTAATCAAGCTAAATTAAAACAAGCACAACTTGTGTGAAAACAGAGTCACCTAAGAATCCTAAGAACGCAGAGGCCTTTTCACACAGAGGAGATATGAGCAAATTCAGCATATTGAGTGAATCTCATGAAAACATACTCGGGTCACCATTCCACCAAAATAAAAAACAATATGGGTGCTCAATATGGGTGCAATAGGTGCTCTCCCGCTACAGTTTTAATTAACATCAGCAGATTGGTAAAGTACAAGTGCTACAATTTTAATAACATAACATTACAATGAGACCTTTTCACTTTTTTTGCACATTACAATTATGAGACTTCTGGGGAAAACTTTCTTATTTAGTGAAAATAATGTCACACGTGAAGCCTACTGGTCCAAAAAAACAGGTTTCTTAAATGCATTTGTTCTTTTTAATCGTAGGGTGAAACACTCATCGGGTTGCACGAGATTCACCAATCAGAAGTTCCTCTATAAGAAAGGAGCTTGCTAAAAGCCACTGTGTGGATGCGTGTGAAATACAGATGGACGAAGCTCTTATAAGAATCATGCAGTTTTAGCATCCAACAGCACAAAACTGCGGTGAAAGGCTTTTCAGCAGACGTGTTATAACCTGCAAGCCGTTTAGAAGTGTCCCTGTTTCCTCCTCTGGACTGACTGGACTCTGGTACGCTTGGTTTCGGGACATCGGCACCTGGGAGAGTACAACTCTTTAAAACACATTAAGCTGTACCAAATCCTTGTAGCAGAACACTAGTACTGTTCATACAGTGTCATGTTTCTCTATTCTTAATATTGTTCCTTTTCTGAGAAGCCCTAATAAAAGGCCTGTAATTCCTAAAAGACTACACCGAATCCATTACCTTTGTCAAGTGCCATAATGAACAGCCCGAGTCATAGGCTGCATCTTAAAAACTACCTACCTGTCCTGGACAGCAAACTTGGGCATCGGAGGTCCAAACATTATTGTAGTACCACTAACGCTCTCATTCAGTTTTAAAAACAACTAGAATGACGAATTAAATGGAGGCATGGGTGTTCAAATATGTTCTCCAAAACTATGAGTTAAATACGTGATTCACTATCGGCACATTTCAGATGAAGTCAGACATGGGAATACCCAAACTGACTTCCCATTTGCGTCCTCATTGCTTTAGTCATAGGGTGACCATACGGGCCATTTTTACGGGACGCGTCCTTGCCAGGATTTCTATATTGCCTAAAATATCCAGGTTTTGGCTGTTTGCACTGTGCAGATCGATCGTTGTATGACATACACGAGAGCAGAGCAGACGGCTCCTTATGCTTTCGAATCGCTCTTGCGGTACTTTGGTGTCATTCAATGATCGACGCTTCAAGTCGAACGAACGAACAAATACGTGCGCGTATTTGCATCGCTTTGATCGCTCTCTGTAGATCTAACCTTCTCATGCGCCACGATTGGTCGATTATATACACAATACCTGCATGTTATTGGTCAAACTACTTTGGATGTTTTAGGCAATATAAAAATCCTGGCCAGGACGTGTCCCGATTGAACAGCACATATGGCCACCCTAGTTAGTCATCACACATCATGGTCACATGAAGAGACGGAGTTCAAATTCTGGCGGCAGTTCACAAGCCAACAAGAGCAAATCCTGTTAGGGGCCGATCACACGGAGCCCATTTTTCCACGCCAATGTGCTACTTATCCTTTGTTTTTCTATGTAAACAAATGCTAGTTGGATGTGTATGACCGTTGTGCTCGCGTCTTTTGCAGCATCTCGCACATGAGAGGAGGTACTCATAGTGGCTATGTCTGGATACCCTGAATTATATAACATTTCTTCAAGCGATTATGACAACCTGTTTTTTTTAAAAACAAAAAGAGCCTGATATTCTCTATCAATTCTGCTGCTTGGCTATTTTCTGTTATTTCCGTTATTGCATCACGTCTCATGTTCTGCACTGCGTCATTTTTAGACGCTAAGACGCATTCTGTGTGAATGGCCCCTTAAAGGGTTAGTTCACCCCAAAATGAAAATTCTGTCATTAATTACTCACCCTCATGTCGTTCCAAACACATAAAACCTTTGTTCATCTTCGGAACACAAATTAAGATATTTTTGATGAAATCTGAGAGCTCTCTGACATGCGTCGTGGTACTCTCTATGCAGGGTCAGAGAGCTCTCAGATTTCATCAAAAATATCTTTATGGGGGATATAACTCTTCTTTACACTGTTGAAGAGTTGGATTCTCATGCTAAACATGGCCAAAGTTTAAAAAAACTAACTCTTTAAGCATCATTTGGAAAAGTGGTAACTGAACTGCAACCCTTCGGTCTTGAGCAGCAAGTTGGCATCTGGATTTATGCTCACCTCTAGTCTGTTCTGTGAGGTCCACAGGCGTCTGTGTGTTGGTGGAGGCTGCGCGAGTCTCCACGGGGCTCTTGCGAGCCACGGCTGTGGGAGCAGGTGCTGATGAGGCAGCAGGTTCCGCTGGGGGGTTCTTTCGCAGAGGGTCCAGAGCCAGATTGGCGTGATCTATATAAAAATAATGGTGAAAGTTAAGAGACTCTAACGTAATCTACAGTTTACAGTGAAAAGGTTAAGAACTGCAGCCACCCTGATGTGAGGAAATCAGTGCTGGTTAGAAGACGAAATCTTGTGAATTGTGTTAATCAAGTCATTTATTGATTAAACAGAGGTCACCACAATCCAGACACGCACTCAACTGTAAAGTACTTGGAGAAATTTTAAATCAAAGTTTTAAAAGACACACAGTGGGCATGTACACACAGCAGCTAAATACAGTTGTCCTAGAGGGCTTAAACCAGCTTCTGTTCAGGAGCGACAACAGAAAACTTCAGGTCCTGACAACCAAACTTACATGAAATTTGCAGTGCAAATTTAAATAAGAGTGCACAGAACCAAACTTTAGAAGTAGTTCACAAATTTTGACTTGTGACTTTTGACCTACAGGGACATGTCACAGAGGCTAACGTCATGACACAATCAGGGTGGAAGTGGCTTCCTAGTGCACTAGTAGCTCCAACAGAATGGCCACCTAACACTAAGGAACATCACAGGAAACCCAAGCACTGAAAGGAATAGTCTTGGCACCACCAACAATGGAGACAACCCAGCCTAATGGTGGATAGCTCTGGACCCCAAGGTCCCACAGAGTTTTGTGGTCTATACAAATGCCCGGACATGTCACAGAGGCTACCGTCATTACACAATCATGGTGGAAGTGGCTTCCTAGTGCACTAGTAGCTCCAACAGAATGGCCACCTAAACCAAGGAACATCACAGGAAACCCAAGCACTGAAAGGAATAGTCTTGGCACCACCAACAATGGAGACAACCCAGCCTAATGGTGGATAGCTCTGGACCCCAAGGTCCCACAGAGTTTTGTGGTCTATACAAATGCCCACAATGTGTGATGTCAGTAACACAATGAATCAAACACACCCACTTGGAATTTTGAAGTAAACCTGAAAACTTTCTGGAGTGTTTGATTAGGGGTGCAGCTCAACTCGGCAGGACATTGCACACCTTGAGGGCCAGAGTTAATTAATTTATAATAATTTATGCATTTAGCAGACGCTTTTATCCAAAGCGACTTGCAGTGCATTCAGGCTATAAATTTTTTACCAGTATGTGTGTTCCCTGGGAATCGAACCCACAAACTTTTGCGCTGCTAACGCAATGCTCTACCACTGAGCCACAGGAACACTTCCACACTAGCCACAGCTGCCCATCCCTGATCCAGCCCAATGACAGAAGTCATAGTCTAAGCAAATGTGAGAAACCTGGGAAGAGGTACGGTGGAAAGTAGGAGCTTCAAGGATAATGGACAAGGTAGGTCCTCCCACCTTGAAGATGATAACATTACTGCATAAGGCTGTCGCGATTCGTCGATGCTATTCGATTTTTAAAAATCCTCTGCTTCATTTTGCCTGCATCGACTAACCAGCAAAATACCGGAAGTGGCGCATTTTACGGACGAGAATCCATAAAACACATTATTAGACTGTTTTCCAAGGCCTCATGATATATTAAACCAGTTTTAAAATAATTAAGCGATTTAATTAAATAATTATATGTGATGCAGTAATAGGCGTGTAGGTTATGTACGTGCGTCTCACAGCGGCTCCGTTCACAGTAAATGCTGCTCCACAGGAACTGTTATCATTTACATGTGTGGAGCGGCTCAAACTCCATCTCTGCATGTTGTTGTGAGTTTGGGTTTATTATAACGTTCATCTGGGAACGCAACGTGCGCCATTTCATCAGATTTGTAAGGTAAATAATTTATAAATCCACGCAAACACAGGAGAATACATCATTATCTCGCGGTTTCAAAATAAAAGCTCAAACCCTCACTTGTTTACACGTTTTGATGTCCACATAATTCATTAAATTACAGTGGCTATAGCATTTCTGTCCTAAAGAAATGGCCAAATATTAAAGATTAAGTGGACATTTGAATTAAATGATGCTTGGTCAATATTAAACAAGTATTAGATCGCACAGTAATGTGTAAAAACAATCGTCAGGCCGTTGGCGCCCCCTG